GTACGTATACCTGAAATCAAAGTTAGACGAAACAAAACTTAACCTTATTACCTGCAGTGACTTCTGGGTGTTCTATTCGATTTTGTGTATTTTTATTCAGTGGTGACCCACTGAATGATTGCACAGCCCACTAACCGGTCCTGTGGGTTCCGATGGCTCCACACGCTATGAACATACCTGCTGTGGGGCTCTGCTTTGCAGGGTGGGGACACGGGCTTGCAGCTGCAGCTGAGTTCCCAGGACCACAGACGGGCTTTAGGAGACTGGGGGGAAGAGAGGGGAGAGAAGGGGATGGGCTGCCGGTCCAAGAGGAACTTCGGGGAAAGAGAGAGTTAGAAGGAGCTTTGCGGTAGGTTTTGCTCTGTGGCGTGCCCTATAAGCTCTATTCCTATCTCCCCATGACAGCTCAGTCAACCTCCTTCACACAGTAATGCATGGTGGAGTTTGGTGGAGGGGGGACAGGAATATGGTTGTGAGGGAGAGGGCTGAATGGTTTAGGGGCCAAAGCTGAGCCTGCTCAATGGATGTGTCTGGGTCACGTAAATCAAGTTTCGGCAGTGTTTAATGAAGTCCAATCCACCTCCCCACACTCTTCTGCTCACCAAAACCAAACCCAGCCAGGCACACTGCACGTTTATCTGGTGTCTGCCTCAGAGGCACACAGCGTCACTGGTGACAAAAAGGCTCCCAGTGTTCTGGCTGCCACTCTTCATGGTCAAAACCAAACCAAACCCATTGCCCTTGAGTTGATTCCAACTCATAGCGAGCCTACAGGACAGAGGAGAACTGCCCCATAGGGTTTCCAAGGAGCAGCTGGTGGATTCGAACTGCCGATCTTTTGGTTAGCAGCCAAGCTTTTAGCCACTGTGCCACCAGGGCTCCCCTCATGGTCGGGGTGCTCAAACCCAATGAAATGCCCTCTGCTCCAAGTGCCGGGAAGGCTTTCCCTTCCTCCCTCTGGGATCTCTCTCAATCCGGATGCCCAAGGTTGATGCTGCTTCCCTTTTGGGCTAGGGAGCCCATGCGGTAGTGGCAATTCAGTGGTAGAATTCTCGCCTCCGATTCAGGGGACTTGGGTTTGATTCCCAGCCAATGTACCTCATGCGCAGCCACCACCCGTCTGTCGGTGGAGGCTTGTGTGTTGCTATAATGCTGAACAAGTTTCAATGGCGTTTCCAGACTAAGATGGACTAGGAGGAAAGGCCTGGTGATCTACTTCCTAAAATCAGCCAGTGACAACCCTATGGATCACAGAAGTCAGATCCCGTTGTGCATGGGGTCACCATGAGTTGGGGGCCGACCTGACGGCAGCTGACGATAACAGGGAGCCCACACCCAGACATGTCTGACCGCAGACTTGCTTACAAATCCAGCCGGATGAAGAACAGTTGCTTCAGGGTCTGGGCAGGGCTCCAGGCTGACAGACACATCGTGCCCACCAAGCACTCTCAGCTCCTCCTTGTGGTGCTGTGTATTCCGCAGGGATGTCGTGCCTCGGAGGCTGGTATGTGCACATAGGCTCACAAAGGCAAGGGCTACGGGAGGGATCGCCCACCTCACACTTCCTGTAAGCATCCCTATGCCCATGAATACAAAATCATCAGTTTTGGAATGTCTCCTTCCCCAGGGTCATATGGAGGAGTTTCTGGGGTGCGGGCACTGTTCTGTTTCTTGATCTGGGGGGTGGTTACAAGGATGTTTGCTTCATAATAATTAAGTCATGCATTTACGTTCTATATACTTTTCTGGATGTTTCACGATTAGAAAAAAAAGAAAGACAAAAAAAAAAAAAAGCAAAGAAAGTTTTGCCCTCACCCCCTAGCTCTTCATATAACCAATCCATGTCGAACAACCACCTCATCTGGAGTCCCTGGGGGTGCAAATGGTTAACTGAAAGACTGGAAGTTTGAGTTCACCCAGAGGTACCTCAGAAGAAAGGCCTGGCAATCTATGTCTGAAAAATCAGCCATTGAAAATCCTGTGGAGCACAGTTCTAGTCTGACACACATGAAGTCACCATGAATCAGAATCAACTCAGTGGAAACCAGTAAATCTGCACTTAGCTCCCTGCTAAAGAAGGAGATTCTTGCCCTTATGGAGCTTCCTAGAGGAAGTAAAAATAACAGGAACGATGAAAGACAGTGAATCCAGCTCTGAATCGTGTCTGGAAAACAGCCATGCTGACATTCTCTTGAGAAGCACTTCAGAGGTCAAGGAGGTAGTGGGGCTTAAACTGGGCCTGGCCATCTGGGTGGGATCTGGGTGGGATTTAGGTGAGTGGGGAGCAAAGAAAGGCATTTTAGCCAAGAGAAGAGTGCGAGCAAAAGCTGTTTGGTAGGGCTAAGCCTGAGGTACTTGGCGGGCAGTGAAGCAACCCTGGGATTGAGGAGTTCATGGGAGGCAAAGCTGGCTTGAAGAGCCTTGGATGCTGCCCCCAGCCTCAAACAGAGGCCACGTGGATGCCGTGGATAGCTCAAGCCTGGGTCATCAGAATGGAGGGCTGTGTGCCTTCTTCGCATGTCTTCTTCCAACAGCAGACATGTTTTTCGCATGTCTTGTTCTTGTTTTGCTTTTTGCTCAAGCCATAGGCCCACGTGTGCCCCTAATCCCTGACCCAGACAGACTGGAGGTTACATCTGCCAGACACATTTCGTGGGCACCCACATTCCTGCAAAGACACTTGCCCAATTCCGGCTTCACTCTGCCCCACCCAGCAGCTGCTTTAAAGCCCCAGCACTAATAACTGTTTAGACATGGGCGGGGGTGGGGGGGGCGGGTGAGGGTGTGTGTGCGTGCATGGGGATGAGAACTCAGGACTGCAGATTCAGGGACAGTGACGTATGACAGGCTGTGAAGTTACCACCCCACCCCTAGCCCCAAACCCATTGCCATCGAGTCGATTCCGACTCATAGTGACCCTACAGGACAGGGTAGAACTGCACCATAGGGTTTCCAAGGAGCGGCTGGTGAATTCGAACTGCCGGCCTTTTGGTTAGCAGCCAAGCTCTTAACCACTGCACCACCAGGGCTCTACACCCCCAGCCCAAGAGCCCTGGACTTTGAGAACTTCACCCACCATCTCCAGGATGTACCAGCCACCTCAGCCTGCGGGTAATGTGTCATGAGGAGCTGGGGAGCCCCCAAACCCCAGAAGGGCTGCTAAGTGTAGGCAGGCAAGACTGGGATGTGTTTCCATTTCGTAAAGTAAGTGGAAATCAAATTAATCATAGACACTCCATTTGGCCCCAAAAAGGAGTGACTGTGATGAGGAATCAGGCCTCAATCGGAGAAGAGACAGTAACAATGATGATAATGATAACTGTACTAGGAAGTACAAAGCACCAAGATTAACTCTGCCTGCCACTGGGCTTAGTATCCACTTCTTTCCTTTAATTCTCATGATAGTCCTATGATGTGAATGCTATTCTTATTCCCATTAGACAGATGAGAAAACTGAGGTTTCCAGGGGTGAGATGCTTTGTCAAAGTCACAGGAATGGTAAGCAGCAGAACGAGGCCCTGAGTCCCAGCAATCTGACTCCAGAGGCTGCACCATGGGAGCGGTGCCCACTTAAGCCCTGTCTGGGTGTGGAGAGGAGGTCCTGCCCCATTGGGGGAGCATGGCAGCCCCTCTTAAAGCCCATCTGGTGAATTGCGCTTGCTCTGGTTTCTCATTAAACAACATTTAGTTTTGGCTTCTCCTGTGACTCACACACAGGGAAAGAAGGCTGGGATCCGCCAACATGACAGCTGCAGTTTTCATTAGTAAATTAATAAGTTGGCGGCCTGGGTTCACTCACTGATCCATTTTTGAGGATTTAGTTAAGGGACGCCCACCCCAGAGCTGAAGCTCCTCATGTGCCAACTTAATTGAGATTTCGAGCACACAAAGGCCAGCCCCTGGCCAGGGCGGGTGTGCCAAGGAAATCCCTCTTGGCCTCCTGTTGGCCGACTTGGCCAGCCTTGCCCAGTGACAGCCTGGCTCTTTGGACTCAAGCTGCCTAGTCAGACTGGAAGTGTCACCTGTAGAGAAGGATGTGACAGTACCAGGTTCCAGTGTGCATTCCAAATTCCATGTTCCGAGCACAAACTCCTGGCGCCAGAGCGGAGGCAGGTCCTTGGCGGGGACTGGTGAGGGTTTGTCTGGTATATTTTTCCCCTGCACACACCTAACCTGGGTCTCCCTGGATCACATACTCTCTCTGCTTCTGTTGACAATGGTTCCCAAAGCTGGGAACCAGCAGGGTTAGCTGGCAGCCTTTTTCATGTACAGATTCCCAGACTCCACTGGCAGATTCTGATCCAGGAGGTCTAAGATGAGGCCTGGAAATGTGTATTTCTTAAAGGTGATTCAGATGTACATCCAGGTTTGGAAACTGCTGTCCAGTGAAAAGACTACCTGCAGTCTCTCCCATCTCCCAGCTCTCTGCCTACCAGTACCCTGCCTCTTTGAGTCACTTGTGGGCTCTTGAAACCCTCCACCTCCAGGAAGCCTTCCTGGAATGAATCTTGTCTGATCACGAGTTACTTACGACTCTCCTCAGTCCTTCCCACCCTGAAATGTGCCTATACATTCCATTCATGCATTAATTTGGCATTTCCATTTCATCACCCTGATATCTGAGTCTTGGGCCATCACTGAGTACACAGCTTCTGTATTAGGTCCGCCCTAACTGCCTATGATTATTTGAGGACAAAAAGGCAGTGAGTGTTGCAGGGATGAAACACCCATGACCTGGGCTCAAGCCTTTGTTCTGCCAGGATGTGACCTGGTCAACTTGCCTTCCTTCTGCACCTCAGTTTCCTCATCTGTGAATGAGGTGTGGATAGATGGTGTCTTGGGTCCCTCCCTTCAGGCTCTGACACTGTGCTTCCTCCTCCCTGTGTACTCCACAGCTGAGGAAGTGGAACTCCAGGGACAGTCCGGAAACTCTGTCCTCAATCCCGGGGCCGGAGGATCCGCCAGCTCTCCCTCCTCCTCCTCCCTTCCGGAGCGCAGCCATGGCCCTGAGCGATGTCGACGTGCAGAAGCAGATTAAGCACATGATGGCTTTCATTGAGCAGGAAGCCAATGAGAAGGCAGAAGAAATAGATGCCAAAGCTGAGGAAGAGTTCAACATCGAGAAAGGACGTCTCGTGCAGACCCAGCGACTGAAGATTAGGGAGTATTACGAGAAGAAGGAGAAGCAGATAGAGCAGCAGAAGAAAATCCAGATGTCCACCGTGAGGAATCAGGCGAGACTGAAGGTCCTGAGAGCCCGTGACGACCTCATCTCGGACTTGCTGAATGACGCCAAGCAGAGACTCAGCAGGATTGTGGCGGATCAGGCCATCTACCAGGAGCTGCTGGAGAAACTGCTGCTCCAGAGTCTGCTGCGACTGCTGGAGCCCCAGGTGCTGGTGCGCTGCCGGCCACAGGACGTCCTTCTGATAGAGTCTGCCGTGCAAAGAGCCGTCCCTGATTACATGGCGGTCTCCCAGAGAGGTGTGGAGGTTCACCTGGATCAAGAGGCTTCCCTGCCTGCAAACTCAGCCGGAGGCGTAGAGGCTTACAGTGGCAATCAGAAAATCAAGGTCTCCAACACCCTGGAGAGTCGGCTGGATCTCTTAGCCCAGCAAAGGATGCCGGAAATACGAAAGGCCTTGTTTGGAGCTAATGCTAACAGGAAGTTTTTTACCTAAGCCCCTGAGAAGTGGAGCTCGTATTGAAGTGCGAAACCATGAAAGCATAAGTTATTCGGGCAAAGGAGACTAGTAGTCTGATCCACCTGTTTGATGTCCTAATATTGTTTTATCTTCCTTCACAAAATGCCCTTTGCGTAGCTAACAGGTTATAAAGTGTTAATTTTGGAATAAAGCCCGGATTAATGCTCAGAAACCTAATTCCAATTTCTGGTCAGTTCTGCTGTCTAGGATGAAGGGAGCAAAGACGACTGCTTTCAGCTCAGTGTGGGGGATGAGATGTGAATGGTGTTCTTGGCTGTGGGTCCCCGTGTTCTAAGTTTCTTTAATACGCATGTGAGGTGTGTTCCTTTTGTGTCAGCGTTAGTTTCTGCACTTACGTAATTAATGAGGTTTAGAGATCTTCCTTCTGTGTACAGGGCCGGCTTCATGGGCACAGGACCGGTGTAACTGCACAAGGCTCCATCCTCAGAAGGGCCTGGCCCTTGGGGTTTAATGCTCTGTGGTCACCATCTTGAAATTCTCCATTTTATCTTTGAATGTGAGTTCTGTAGGTGAAGCCCCATGGGACAATGGTGCGTGTGCGGAAGCTTGGAGTCTCAGCTCAGGCCTGGCCTCGACTCTCCACCTCCCCGGGGATGAGTTCTTAGCTGCCCACTTCCCTGCCCTTTGGCCTCCCGGGGCCAGCAGCTCCTCACCTTGCCCTCTGCCCCTGGTGATGCGCGGAGGATCAGGGTCTGGTCCTCGTGCGCTTCTGCGTTTTAGGGCCAGGCATGATGGCGCTATCCCGGCCCCAGGCTGGCAGTGCCATAGCACATTCAGTGGGTGACTGGGCGAGGGTGAGTCTCTCCCCCACCAGGTGTGAGCACATCCCGGCGTGAAGGTTTAAAAGCTCTGGGGCGGGGGGAGGGAGGCTCCTGACAGCCGTGGGTTGGAGCAGTAGGCCCACCGGAACGGGCGGTGCCTGCCTCAACTTTCCTGAGCCCAGGTCTGGGGGTAGGTGGGAAGGGCAGCCCCCCCACTGTCAGGCCCAAACCGGGTTGACCCAAATCTTAGGGTGGAGCCCTCCAGTGCCTCTGAGTGTCTGCGCTTGCCCCGCAACGTATCTCTGCGCCTGAAGGAGCGCTTCTTCGGACCATGCAGTGGCTGCGGGCCCTTGTTCATCAATTCTGGCCAGCTCAAGGCGCTCTCTGAGAAAAGTGATTCAATACAAATTGAGTAATTTCGGTGATTCTGCATATGGGCGTTGCACAATATACAGATGAACAGTAAAATTCATGCTAATAACTAAAATGTTTTCTTTACTTAGATATTAGATAGGAAATAAACACCGTGAGAAGTCAAGACAGTTACTATAAAGAACAGAAAAGGTTTTATATTTTAGCACCTTTAGCTGCACTTTTTTCCTTGCTTTTTGAACAAAACCTGTTGCCATTGAGTCGATTCCAACTCATAGTGACCCTATAGGACAGAGTAGAACTGCCCCATATGGTTTCCAAGATGCACCTGGTGGATTCAAACAGCCGACCTTTTGGTTTGCAGCCGAATGCTTAACCACTGCACCACCAGGGCTGCTTTTTGTTTTAAACAAGGGGCCCCAAATTTTCATTTTGTAGCGGGTTCTGCATGTGTATATGGGACTTGAAGTCTAATCCATGCCCAAGTATGTTTTATTTATCAAAATAAATGTTTTTGTGAAAAATTCACAAGCAACTCTACCAAGGGCAAAGGTTGGCTTGTGTGATTGTTAGGATCAGAAACTCTAGGAGCTAAAACATGAAGTAGGGGACAGACTGTTAGGAAGAGGGGTCTCTCTCAGAGCGCAGGAGCAAGACTCAATCCTGGTCTCAGGCGAGGACTGGAATTGGGAATCAGAAAGCCATCTGAAATCCTCTATACGCCCTCTTCATTTTCTTTCTTTAAGGAGTGACTTTCTCTGCTATTCAGTTTAAACGGATTCATGCTCCACAGTTTCAAAGTTTACATGCTGTAATTCCAGAAACAAACTCTTGGAGTCAATTTCACTTTGCTAAGAGGGAAGGCATTTGGCCCACTCGAGTCAGATGTCCGCCCATCGTCCAGTTGGTGTCTGGGTGCAATTCCCAGAGAAAGAGGAGTCCTTGTCAGCTGGATAGACTCCCCAAAGGGTGTCTTCTGTGCGGGCCCTTTTGAGTTGTGAATTCAGTTATCCAACAAATGTTTTCTGGATGCTAACAGCTAGGCACTGTGCTAGTTGATGGGCTGCAAAGAATATGGTCCCGTCCTATCCTTTAATGACATATAAACAAGCCATACTAATCCAACATGGTAAGCGCCATCATAACTCTGTATATAAGGATACTGTGGAAACACAGGGACAGGAAGAAAGGGTCACAGAAGGCTTCCAGGGGTGATGGCAGTTAAGTTGAGGAAAGCACTCTAGCAAAGGGGAAAGCATGTGCAAAGGCCCAGAGGGTGTGAAAAACCGAGGTCTGTTAGAGGACGTGTGATGAAGTGTGAGGTACAAGGGGAAGTGACTGTGGATAAGGCTAGAAAGATGGGCGGAGCCTGATTACATGGTGCTGTGTGCCCTGCTAAGGAGTTTAGTCTTAACCTGGTGGGTGGGTGATGAGGGATCATTGAGAGATTTTAAATAAGCGTGAAATGATAAGAGCTGGACTTTAAAAGATTATTCTAGTTTCATTGTATGTGGAGGATATACTGGAAAGGGGAGAGACTGCAGGAGAACTGGTGGGAGGCTATTTATCAGCCCAAGGTGATAAAGAATTTTATTAAACAATTTATTTTGTTGTTGAGACTATACACAGCAAAACATACACCAATTCAACAGTTTCTACGTGTACCATGTAGTGACACTGATCGCATTCTTTGAGTTATATAACCATTCTCATCCTCCTTTTCAGAGTTGCTCCTCCCCCATTAATATAAATTCACTGCCCCCTAAGTTTGCTATCTAATCTTTTGAGCTGCTGTTATCAATTTGATCCCATACAGATAGTTCTTGAAAGAATGTAATGCTCAAGGCAGATCGTTTTTACTAGTTAAGCTAAATTATTACTCGGTACAAGATGACTTCAGGGGATATTTTTGGTTTAAGGTTTAAAGAGTATCTCAGAGCAATAGTTTCAGGGGTTCATTCACCCTCTGTGGCTCCAGAAAGTCTAGAGTCCATGAGATTTTGAAATACTGTTCTACATTTCCCCCCTTTTGATCAGGATTCTTCTATGTAATCTTTATTAAAATGTTCAGTAATGATAGCTGAGCACCATCCAGTTCTTCTGGTCTCATGGCAAAGAAGGGAATTGTTCATGGAGGCAATTAGCCACACATTCCATATCCTTCTCCTATTCCTGACTTGCCTTCTTCCTCTGTTGTTTCAGGTGAATAGAGACCAATTGCTGTGCCTTGGATAGCTGCTTGCAAGCTTTTAAGACCCCAGGCACTACACAGTGAAGTAGGAGGTAGAACAGAAGCACCAAATATGTTATTAGGCCAATTAACTGAGATGTCCCATTAAACCATGACCTAAACCTCCAAACTAAGGACCCAAATCCCATGAGGTTTTTGGTTGTTCATAAGCCTAAGATGAATAAAGAATTTACCCAACATTTTTTGTGAGGTAGGTTAAATATTGTCATCAACTGGGAGAGATTAGAACCAATGACCTATGTCCTATCCGCTTCCCCATAAGTCCTTTCACTTGTGGAGGGCTTGAAGCTTTCTGTCATAGTTTCATATCATCTTACAATTTTTTTTTTTTTCCCATGAGAGTCCTCCTACCCTCAAAACCTTCTCCTTTCTCTCCTAGCCATCATTCCAGGCCCAGCAAATATCATCTTTCCAGCCCCAGCTGTCTCCCCTCCAGGAACTCAGCCCTCACTTCCTGCTGTAACCCAGGAGTGACTGAACCTGCTTGGCCTACCCTCCTCTGGCCCTCTGAGCCAGCCTCAGTCCATTATTGGGGTCAAAAAGTCCCTGGGTGCCACAAATGATTAACTTCTTGACTACTAGCTGAAAGGCTGGCGGTTTGAATCCACCCAGAAGTGCCTCAGAAGACAGCCCTGGCGATCTGTGCCCAAAAGGTCACAGCCACTGCAAACTCTATAGGGCAGTCCTACTCTACATACATGGGGTTATCGTGATAGGCAGCAACTTGACGGCAACCAACAGCAACAAGCCAACCAAAAACCCACCGCCATCGAATCAATTCCAACTCATAGCGACCCTCTAGGACAGAGTAGAACTGCCCCATAGGGTTTCCAAGGCTGTAATCTTTACCGAAGCAGACTGCCACATCTTTCTCCCGAGGAGTGGCTGGTGGGTTCGAACGACCAACCTTTTGGTTAGCAGCCTAGCACTTAACAACAACAACATTAATTCATTGCCAGGGAAACCGACAGTGATGTAGGTTTCATCACCTGTTTTGTGGGAAGTTGAGTAGAGCTTTACAAGATGCCGAGCGGGCAAAATTTCCCCAAAGTCCTATGTAAACCTTTTTATGTTTTCCCAAACTTTTCTCTCTCTTGTAACTACAACATACTGTCTTTTTCTCCCCAACCTTCTCTTCCTAAGCTTCTCAGTCCTGTGAGTTCTGGTCTCCTCCCTCACAAAATCACCTCAGCCAAACAAAAACCAGATGGTTAACCAAGTCCTGACTCCCACAGCCCCCCGGGTGGGACTCATGCCTGGCCACCTCTTGTTCAGGGCTTCTCCTGCTTGCCTTTGCTGTTGGTTAGTTTTTCTACTGTCTCATCTTCCTAGACACATACCCAGCTCTGAGCGTCCTTCTTCTTTGCATCCCTCCTACCTCGTGATTTTAGTTCTTGACATTAGGGGTGCTCCTAGCAGGTTCTGAACAAGCATTTCTGGTTGCCGCATTCTTCTTTCTGGCCTGGCTCTGGCTTTGGGTGGGGGACAAGAGTCTCTCCCCTCTTCTGGCCCACAGATTGGGCCATAGAAAGGGGCCCGTGTGTGAGATGGGTTCAGCGAAGAGTGTCTGC